AATTTCCAGGCAATTAATTTACCAAGTATTTTTGTTCTCGTTAATAACCTAATATATATTAAATAGGAATTTTTATATAGGACAAGGAGTAATGGGTGCAAGTTGAAGGAGGGAAAATTTAGATTAGATATTAGGAAGAAATTATTAACTTTGAGGGTGGTCAGAAATTATTAACTTTGAGACACTGGAACAGGCTGCCAAAGGTGGTTGAGCTGCCCCATCCCTGGAAGTGTCAAAGGCCAGGTTCAATAAGGCCTTGAACAGACTGGTCTAGTGGAAGTTGTCCCTGCTCATGGCAGGGGGTGGGACTAGGTGAGCTTTAATGTTCCTTCCAACACCTTCACATTCTATGATATGGGAAAACATTTTCATTATGAGGGTGGTCAGACACTGAACAGGAACCCAGAGAGGTGGTGAGGTTTCCATCTTGGGATATATTCAAAACTTGACTGAACAGAGCTCTGAGAAATCTGATCTCATCTTTTCTGATTTTAAATTCCCTGTAATTTTTTCATTGTGAGCTCTCTGGGACAGGACCCACTTCACCATTTCTTCTTCAGGTGCATTTCATGTTTTCAGTATTTCATCATTTACCCCCTGCCCTCTCCAAGAAGCCTATGAGGGTAGACAGAATCAAGCAGAAACCTTCTGGTTTTATTATCATTGTTTTATTTCCATTAGTTCTAAAGGTGTAGAAGTTACGTGGATTGGTAGCCATACTACTTCATAATAGATATTTTTTTACATCTTTAAATAATTACAGCTTGTTCAGTTGGTTGGTTTCCCTCTCCCCCTTACAAATAAGTGTTTGTTTCCACAAGACCTTCCCAGATGACCTAGGAAGCTTCAAACTTTATACATGGGGAGAAAAAAATAAAGACAAAACAAAACACCACCCCTGACATAGTCACAGCTTCAATGTTACATTGAGAATTGTTGATTGGTTTTAAAGCTCCCTTGCAATATTCCTGAGCTCCTCCTGATTGCACCCTCTCCAACCAAGCCCATAAGATTGCAAGTGATCTGTGCATCTTGTCTGATCAATTTACAAAGAATAACTGAAGTGAATCAAGATAATGCACTTCCACAAAGAGCAAAGACATTTAGAAGTGGTTAAATGACCTTTCTTGGCTCCCTGTCCTGGTTCTCATGTGCCCATCTCGCTTTGGTGGCCACTGGGCCATTGCCAAGGTCTGGTTTGACACACCCAAACCTTGTGCTATAAACCCTTCAGCATCAAAATTTTCCTGATTAGGGATGATCTCAAGTGGAGCAAATCCCACAAATGCAGTTTTAAATGTGCTGAGGTGTTTTGCAGGAGTGGGCCCTTCCCTCTTGCTCCTCAGAGAAGGGATAGTTCTCGGTCCTGTATTTGTGTAGGACCTGGTATGGATCTCATGAGGTTCTCCAGCAATAAAAGCAGTAATAAAACCAATAATTACTTTGCTTTAATGGGTCTCTAATAATTGTATCTATTTAATTACCAAAGCAGGCTCTAACTGCCTCCCCCATCACAGGCAGGGAAGCAGAGCTCAGGTGGAACCTGTAATTTTGTAATTGGCTCCTCTTGTTGGAAGGAGCTGAGTGAACTGACAGTGGCAGCACTTTAATCCTCTTGTCCTGTGAGTATCTCTTGGTCTATCACCTCTGGAGTTTGTCATCCTGCATTGGCCATCCCTGCAAGACGTGGCTCTGAGTGATTCCTGGCCTTGGAAACCATGTTCAGCCTCCCACAATGACTCCTTACACCGGAATCCCCAAATGTAAGTAATTAATTTGCCAGTGATTCTTGGGAAAACATTTCCACCATGAGAGCAGTCAAACACTGGAACAGGAACTCAGAGAGGTGCTGGGATTTCCATCCTTGGAAATATTAAAAAGTTGCCTGAACAAGGCCCTAAGAGACCTGATCTTGTCCCTTCTAAGTTAAATTATTCTGTAATTTGATCTTTAGAAGCCCTGAAAAAGGGGACCCATCAATTATGGTGTGTTTGTACCCCACCTGAAATGGTGATGCTCATCTGAGATCAGTCTCTCACCATCCTGACATCAGCACTGGCTTGAAAAAGACAAAATCTCCTGGGCCAACAGCAGCTCTACAACAGTTTTGGGTGATTGAAAAGAACCACAGAACCTGGTGTATCCAAACTTCTGCTTCTGGTGCAGAAAGGGGGACAAAAGAGCTAATTTCTACCCCTAAAGAGTTGTCCTCTACCCCTAAAGCTGTCCTCCAGAGCTTCACTTTTTGAAATCAGATCTCTTGTTCTGTTAGCAGGGACTTGTAAATGCTCCTCACTCTGTTTCAAAAATAGTTTTTCAGACTTTGAGGAAGGCTAAAATCCAGTTCATAAATCTCTACCAAGGGGACATAAGGCAGATATGTTCTGCAGGGATTTTTTTTTTTGCCTTCTGGCATTATAAGCAGAGTTCTTTCTGGCATCTCTGAGTGGGTTTTAAGGGCAGGAGAAAAATTCCACTGGGGAATTTGGCTTTGAGGGAAGGAGGAGGAGCACAGCAATAAGGAAGGGAAGGGAGAACCAGTGTGAGCCTCCAGATGGAAGGAGAAATGGGGCTGTGGTTGATCTGGACTTTTAATCCTTATCAGGAGGCTCCACTCCCTGTTGGGGCTTTCCAGGGTAGTTCTGGATCTCTCAAAAGCTGGCATGAGCCACGTGGCATTTTGTGGTGCAGGGTGCTGTGTTATGGCCAGGAATTCACAGCCAGCTCCCAGGAGAGCTCGACTGCCATTTGCAAAGGGATTTACTTAAGGAGGAGTTTGGCTAAAGATCTTCCTGCCAATGGAGAAACACCTTTGTGTTTGCATCTCAAATTCATTTTTTTTTCAGGGCTATTTCTGGCCTCTTCTCTACAGCCTAGCAGGTCTGAACAAAATCACAGAATTTAATTTCTTTGTATTCATGTTTCATGAATGTCTTTCCCTCATCTGTAATTAGCACTAATGAGGCTAAACACTGCATTAGCTCCACAAAACAATGGGAACTGGTGCAAACACCACCCAGCTGTTCCCATGGCACCATTGCCATGGTGCTTTTCCCTAGGGAGTGTGGAGGCTCTGTCACCCCTACAAAACCCTGCAAATCTGAGCTATGGAGAGAACGGGGAATGTAGAGACTCTCCAGTCATGACCAGTCCAGTTGAATCCTTCTCCTTAGAAAAGCCTTTACACCATAGGGAGGAAAACGGGGAGTTCAAGCAAAGACAACACAATGCCATTCTTTTGCTTATTTGCTTCAAACCTGTCCGTGGCTCTCCTCTTCACTAAGTCACGTGCCTTAGTTTGTGTGGAAGAACTCTCCTTGTGGGAGTGTTAAACAGTGGGAGGCAGAGGGTGGCACGTTTGGGAGGGTTGCACAATCCCCCTTAGAGATTTTTCACTTGGTAGTTCTGTACTTGAGTTCTGGATGCGGGAAGGAAAAGAGAGGAGCTGGGAAGGCAAGAAGGGTAACAGAGCTTGGGAGCAGACAGAAACCAGAGTGAAGAATCTTGCAGGATGAGGTCTCCCAGGAACTCTCTGCATGGACAGGCAAGGCTGTCCTTCCTTGGAAATGTTGATGCAAACGTCATGGGAAGCATCTGGTGAAGCACTTGGGCTGCCCAGGGGAGCTGTGGCGTCTGCCCTGCTGGAGTTTGAGTTTGTTAAACCAGAGGCAGAGCAGTCAGGGCTGGATTAGGCAGGTTTGATCCCTTTGGGAAAAGGGAATGAGTCCTGCTCTTTGTATCTCTTCCAGCTCTATTTGCCAGGATTCCCTGGTAGCTGAGAGCCTTATGGGCAAGCAAACAGTCGAGTCTTGTTTAATGGAGTTGTGCTTCTCTTGCAGGCAAGCAAGTCTGTGCACATGCTTGATAAGGAAAACAGCCCCTGCCACCTCCTGTAGGGGCTGAAGCCACTGCTTGTTGCAAAAAGTGAAATCCTAAAGGATTAGATGTGGGAAATGGTCACGAGCCAGCTGTTAGGGGGAAAATGGGCACTCACAGTACAGCCAAAAATAAGTGACAGTCAGATTTCATCAGTGGCATCCAAACCAACATAAAAATAGGCAAAATAATTAAATTATCTGTCTGAAAAGCAGTGGCCCAGCAGCGTTAGAAGAGCATCTTTCACTTGCTGTGCTCTTGAGTCATCTCTAAACCTGGCTTGTCGCTATCCATCAGGGAAGAGCCCAGCCATTTCCTCCAGGATTTGATGACCAGCATGGGTCTCATCTACCTTCTTCCAGAAGGTTCCTTCTTCCAAAATCCTCCTTTGACTTTGGACAGACCTACTCCAGGCTCAGCCAACAACCTTTTGGAAACAGTCCCATGATTTAGTAGTGATAAATAGGAAAGGAGTTACTATTAAATACGGACATTCATGAGCTTTCCAGACCATCTAGAAAAATGAAGACAATGCTCTACAGGTGTGACCTGAGGAGGAAGGGGGATGTCTCTTTTTTTCTCTGCCCTACATCATATCAAGTCCACTAAAGCCACTAAAGAATCTCTAGTGAAGTCTGTTCAGCAAACTATCCTGGAACTGGCTCCATTTGGTGGAAGATCACTGAATTTTGGGTCATGAGAAGACAATGGCATTTTCTTCTGTTGGGGAAAGAATGGGTGGTGGCAGAAGTGTCTCTGTTCCACCACTGTCTGAGTCTTAAAATGCCAGATATTGTTAAATAAAACTCAAGAACTTTGTCCATCTCTGTGTTTCTGGCTGTTTCATAGTAAGTGGTGACAGTCAAATAGAGAGGCTCATTTAAAGTGGGGAAAAAAGGCTTCAAATCCTTGAGTTACTCTGAGATTTGAGTCTTCTCTCTTCATTTCATAAGAGCTCCCCTACACCTCAGATAAATTCTCTTTACCTCTTTGCTGGAACATCTCACAAGGGGAGAGAAGGCAGGAGAGCAGGGGAGGTGGAGACAACATTGGCTTGATGATTACATGGCATCTTCTTCATCTCTCAAGCAGATCAGCCTGGAGTTCATAGGGAAAGGGCCAGGTTATGCAGTTATGATGTCCCCGTGGTTCTCAGCCAGCACCAGGCTGTTCCAGGAGTCCTGTTTGGAGCTGGTTTGGGGAGACTGGCTCATGGCTGACTGGTAAGCTTGGGGGGAAAGCTTCAGAGCTGAGATTGCAGGGTGAATGGATGATCCATGTCCAGACATGGCAGAGACTGAGAATGCCTATGGAAAAAAGAGAATGCTGTGAAAAAAGCTTCAAACCTCAGAGGGCCATGTAAATCCCTTTAGTGTGGGCTGGTGGTGTTGTAAAAAATGCGTCTGGATTTGCTGCAGGGCTGGAGATTGCACCCTAAGTGGGATACTTTGGGCAGGCTCTTTCCTCCTGTCTCCCTTTCTTTCTTGTTCTAGACACACAGAATGGTTAGGGTTTGAAGAGACCTTAATGATCATCTCCTTCCCACCCTTGCCATGGGCAGGGACACCTTCCACCATCCTAGGTTGCTCTTGTCCAGCCTGACCTTGGACACTTCCAGGGATGGGACACCCACAGCTTCTCTAGGTAACCTGTGCCAGGGCCTCACCACCTCACAAGGAAGAATTGCTTTCCAATATCCAATCTAAACCTCTCTCTTTCAGTTTGAAGCCATTCCCCTTTGTCCTATCACTCCATCCCTTGTAAATAGTCTCTCTCCATCTTTTCCTGCAGCCTCCCTTCAGGTGCTTAACTACCTAAGTAAAGTTATGAGGATGTTCTCCCATGTCTACCACCCTATTTCCCTTTTTATTTGTTTTTCCACTGCTAACATCTCCCCTCAGTACCTGAGAAACAGGGCTGGGGTGCCCATAGTGAGATGAGAGCCCAGGTTCTGTTTTGATGGGGCGCATTTCCTCGGTGGTTGTGGTGCTGCTGCTGCTGCTGCTGGTGGAGCTGGTGGTCGGGGTAAGACTCTCGCTGCTGGATGGGCCTGGGGTAAAACCAGAGGGTAAAACAGGCTCTTTCCAAAGACCTTTCAGCACAGAGTTGTGCCCACTCACCCAGAAGTGAGTGTGGTAAAAATAAATTTTAAAATAGTTGGAAGGGTATTCAGGTATTTAGACATTCCCCATTTTTTAAAAAATTGGCCTGTTTTGTCATTGGATCTCTCTAATTTGAGGGCACTGTGGTTAGAAATACAAGTGCACACACAAATACACATAATAAAATAAATTCCTTCATTTAACGCTTACCTGCTGGTGCCTTTGTTTTGTTAAGGTTCTTAGGCTTGCGTTTCCTCGTCTGAATTCCCTCTTTTCTCATGGCTAAAGGCCTTGGGACCTATGAGTCCAAATAAAAAAGCACACTGGTTTCTGACTGTCCTTAAGGTCATCTAAGAGAACATGATTCCAATTCTATCTTGTGGTTGAGCTGGTTTAATTGAAAGCAACAAGATGGAGCCCAAATTCCCTGGTCAAGGGAGATTCAAGATGTGCATCCAAATGGGAATAAAAAGGCAGATCACACCATGGTATTGTGTGTTTTAGGGCCAGAAGGGAACTACAACTTATGTGTTTGTGCTTCTGACTTGCCTTTTTTACTAAAGTGCCTGAATTTATTAGGGAAGAATCTGGGCCTTTTTTCATTAGATTTTAAGACTTATTTGCAAAAGGGACCTAATTAGTAAGTGAGAAGTACCCAGCATGTACACCCCCTTGCAGGTATAAACACAACATAACCTTGAGGGAGACTAAACCAAAAAGAACAGCAGGAAAAGCAGTTCCAGAAGAGCACAGAGCTATGTAAAGAACCCAGCCCCCAGCCTGGTGCCACGAGCAGCCTCCCACAGCCAGGATTTACCCCGTGGAGCTTCATGTAGAGCCCGCAGGCGTTGCAGACAGGCTCCCCCTCGGCGTTCCTGCGCCACAGCGTGGTGGTCGTCGTGTGGCAGTTGGCACAGGAGAGCCCAACACGGCGGGATGCTGACTGTGGGGACAACAGAGCAAGGAAACAGTGAGCCCTGCAGTGCCCTCACCAGCTGCACCCCACATCCCAACCAGCTCGCTCCACCACGCCTCAGGGTTCCCTCTCCTCTTGCCTCTCATATTTTTCTGGCTTTTTATCTTTTTGCTGCTTTGCAGTTGTCCAGCTGCCTCATTTTGCCCCTCTTGCCTTTCCACTGATTCCAAGATGTCTCAGCTCTCCTGGGCCGTCTCAGGTGGCACCAGAGATATGAAATAGAATCATTGGAAAAGATCTCCAAGACCATAGAGTCCAACCTGTGACTGATCACCACCCTGTCACCCTGCCCAGAGCACTGAGTGCCACATCCAGTTGTTCCTTGGACACCTCCAGGGATGGGGACTCCAGCACCTCCCTGGGCAGCCCCAGCCGATGCCTGACCACTGTTTCAGTGAGCAAATTCTTCTGGATGTCCACAGTAAACATCTCCTGGCACAGCCTGAGGTTCTGTCCCCTCATCCTGTCCCTGTTCCTGGCAGCAGAGCCCAGCTCCCACCTGGCTGCCCCATCCTGTCAGGGAGTTGTGGAAGGCCAGAAGGTCCCCCCTGAGCCTCCTTTCTCCACAATCCCACATCACCTGAATGGGACCCGAGATCTCCAGCAGTTCTAGTGGCAGCTTAGAGACTCCCGGCACATGTACCTGCCTACCCTAAGGTGTGTACATCTCAGACCATTCTGCCTTTTCCGGCTCCCAAGCCCTTCCAGGCATCGTGGCTATCACAAGAAAATGTTTTCAATGCCATAAATGTTGCATATTCCTTGCTGGCTTTGTGCTATGCTGTTTATAGAGCCCAAGGGGAAGATAAAAAAAGAGAAGCTTCCAGCAGTGTTTTCCTCCTCTTGATAAAGAGGGATAATTAATAGGAAGTCTCACTAATGAATTAGTGCAGGGAACAGACCCAAAGTTCCTTTTCTGGGTGAACTGGTTTAGTCAGCCTCAGAAGGCAACAGGAGAAAGCAACAGGCTTGAAGTCATATAAAATACAAGTTTTGAGCTGGGAAACAGCGGGAGGTGGAGGAAGGAAAAGCCACATCCTCCACACTTGCCTGAGTTTTGTTATCATCCTTCAAAGCTCAGGCCTTAGAGGCCAGTAAATGAGAGAGGGAAGGTCCTGAGTGCCGGGTGAGATCCCGCCTGGATCGTTGGGACTCCGGAAAGGCGTTTCACAAGAGGGCGCTCGGTGCCCGCGGCTGCTGGCAGCGCTCAGGCTGCCCGTGTCACTTTGTCACTCGCAGGGGACGCCTGGGTCTGGGCACAGACCGGGCTGAGCGATGCAAAGGGCAGGGCAGTGCGGGGATGGAGCCTCGAGGAAAACAAGGAGTGTGGAAATCTGGCTTTCTGGTGGCTGCTTTTGGCTTGGGTTCATGATCAGGGAATGTTATGGAATCATAGAATGTTGTAGGATAATAGAATTTTAAGGGGGTAGAAGGGATCTTAAAGCTCATCTAGCCCCACTCCCCTGCCATGGGCAGGGACACCTTCACTATACCAGGTTGCTCAAGGCCTTATCCAGCCTGGCTTTGAGCACTCTCAGGGTTGGAGCATCCACAGCTTCCCTGGGTAACCCATTCCAGAGTCTCACCACCCTCACAGAGAAAAATTCTTCCTAATACCTAACCTAAAAGTTGTACCCATTGCTCCTTTCCTGTCACTCCAGTTCCTGATGATGAGTCACAGATTCCCTGTAGGACCCTTCAGATACTCGAGGGGGCTGTGAGGTCTCCACAAGACCTTCTCTTCTCCAGGCTGAACAGTCCCAACCTTCTCAGCCTGTCGTGATGGACTCGTCACTGGGGACACAGAGACTTTCCCAAAACCCCTCACCAAAACATGCAGGGAGCAGCAGAGTATCAACTGAGCTCACAGAATCATGGAGTGGTTTGGGTTGGGAGGGACCTTAAAGATCAAGTTCCACCCCCTGCCATGGGCTGGGACATCTTCCACTATCCTAGGTTGCTCCAAGCCCCATCCAAACTTGCCTTGGGCAATTCCAGGGATCCAGAGGCAGCCACAGCTTCTCTGGGCACCCTGTGCCAGGGTCTCAGCACCCTCACAGGGAAGATTGTCTTCCTAATATCCCATTTAAACCTGCTCTGTCAGTTTGAACCATTCCCTGTTGTCCTGTCATCCTTGTAAATAGTGTCTCTCCATCTTTCCTATAGGCTTCCTTCAGGAAAGCTGCAATAAGGTCAACCCAAAGCTTTCTGTTTTTCAGGCTGAACAATCCTGTTCCTGTCCCCCAGGTTCCTTGTGCACACCCCACCCTGACCCCAGAGGCTTTGGGATGCCCTGACCTGCCCTACACTGGGGGCTTCACCTCATACAACAGATGTGGGAGCAGAGTATCCAAAATAGAAATCCAGAAAAGTCACCATGAAGTCAGGGGCTCACCCAGCAGTGATGAGGGACCCCTGTGGGTGCTGTGCTGGAACTGGAAAGAGTTGCCATTCCTCCAAATATCCCAAAATCACCCTGTGTCCTACAGCCCCTTCCACCGCCTGCCTGAGTGTCTGGAGAACTGCTCTGGGCAGTACCAGGGCTTGGAGTATCCCAAGCATGAGAAAATCTGACTTGTTTTGAAAAGTCTGGACCTCAGCTGGGCAGATGGGAGTCGAAACACCCCTGGCATCTCCAGCTGGCTGATACTTCTTTGCCTCCTTCTCCCACAGGTGTGATCTGGACTTACCAGCCTCCTCTGGGGTTTGAACAGGGGCCGGTTGATGCCGTTCATCTTGTGGTAGAGCCCGCAGGCGTTGCAGAGGTAGTGCCCCGTGCCGTCCCTCCTCCACAGCGGCGTGGACATGGCCCCACAGTTGACACATTCTCGCCCCTCAGAATAATCGTCAAAAAATTCTGCTGCCACGATGGGGGAGAAGAGAAAAGACTCTGTTAATTAGGTGGCTGTACCTGTAATTGATGCTCTGCTTCTCAGTTTAGCCCAGAACAGATATTTCAAGAAATCACAAATGTTCAGGTTTTATAGGTTGCAAGAAACAGATTTTATAGAAATCTTTTGCAAGAAACAGCTCTTCCTTTCCCAAGGAAGCACCCCCCTCCCCAGGATTACATAATTCCCAGGATTATTGGGAAGAGGGACTCCTTTCCTTGCCATGGCTTCAGAACTTCTGTGGCAGCAGGGATGTGCTGGGACACAGATACCAGGAGGCTCTGATATTATCAATTTTCCCTTCTGCTCTGATGTTATCCAGTTTTCGAGATTGGCCATAGCCAAGGCAAGCAGATCGGGGCAGGTGAGCAACCCTGGTTACAATCAAGGCAGATTCCTGACACTATGGATAAAAACAAACCCCACAGAGCGGAACTGCCCAGAGCTCAGGCAGCTGCATCTCAGAAAACCATTCCATGTGCCCTGCTCCCCATGGGAATGCTCCTCACCTCCAGCCCCTCTGCTGGGGGGGAATGGCTGCAGAGAGACAAGGGGAGGTTCGTGTGCCTTCACCCCATTCTCTGCACAGAAAATGTCTCCTGAGGTGCAGGAATCCACAGCTTGAAGGAGCAGATGTAGATGTGAACCTTCATGTACAACTTGAAGGTTCCCTGCCCATGGAAGGGGGTTTGAAATGGATGATCTTTAAGGTCCCTTCCAACCCAAACTATTCCATGGTTCTGGGATTCAAACCCTCAGTGAACAGGGATTGTTGGGAATTTTTGTGTGTTAGAGGCTCAGCTTTTGATAGAAATCTGTATTGTGTTTGATGCCACACTCCAGGGCTTGCTGCATTCCCCCACTGCATTCCTGGTACATCCTGCACTGGTGCTTGGCTGCAGCTGGGATGTGAGGGACAACTGGGAATGGAGTGATAGGAGAAGGGGGAATGCATTTAAACTGACAGAAGGCAAGGTTAGGTCAGATGTCAGGAAGAAATTCTTCCCTGTGAGGGTGGGGAGTCCCTGGTGCAGATTTCACAGGGAAGCTGTGGCTGTTCCATCCCTGGAAGTGTGCAACACCAGGCTGGATGGGGCTTGGAGCAACCTGGAATGGTGGAAGGTGTCGCTGCCCATGGCAGGGGGTGTGGAATGAGATGAACTCTAAGGTCCCTTCCAACCCAAACCACTCTGTCATTCTGCCCTGGGCTGGGCCAGTCCAGTCCCTCTGGCTGTGACAGGACCAGGAGGCTCAAAGGTCAGCACAACACAGCTCAACTGCATCATCATTCTTTGGAAAGACACAGCTCCCTCCCCGTTCCATACAAACCCTTCCAGAAACCAAGAACTTCACTGTATTTTTTGTCCACCTGCTTTTTACACAAAAATTTCAGCTTCCTGCTGGAAGACAATTGCTCCCCAAGGAGCAAACCAACAAAATTTGGCTTCTGGCTGAGTTGTGCCTCAGTCCCATGTGGATTCTCTGATGTCTAGCAAGGGTTATGTTCAGACGTGGCCTTATTTTCTCTTTTCCCCAGACTATTTTTGGAAAATCTGCAGGAAACTGCATAACTGTGAAGCAGCCAAAGGACAAAAAAAATTAATGAAGTGGCGCCAGTTAGCAGAGACAAATATTCACGTGAGCTTAATTCTCCTTAGGAAATCTGGCTAAAAATGGCAGGAGATTACACCATGTGCCCATGGAGAAATGGTACAGAGCAGTAATTTATTGTACCTAAGCAGCTCTGGATCCAGAAAAGCAGGAATCCAGTATCTTCCCAGCAGTTTAGGAAAATCTCTCCACCCTGGGGCAATTCTGGTGGTTTCAAGAAGATGGGAATCCCTCCAGGTGATTTTTGTCCACATGGATTCAGTGATACCAAAACCCTCACTTTCACCCTTAAAATGACAATTGAGTCACAGCCAAAATCTAGATCAAATAAACTTCCTTTGAAAAGAGAAGGGATTGAAACAGCTGGTCAGGAAAGAACTCTTTTCCTTGAAAAATCTCAAGAAAGGAAAACATTTCACTTTTTTTTGTTTTTCATCTTAGAAGTTGTTGAGGTTTTTGATTATAATTTTCCAAAGAAAAAGCCAAAGTATTTTTGCAGTAATTATTTTCCTGTAAAAAATGCCTTCTTCTTCGAAAAGAATTCAGTACAGAGTTGTGGACATAATCCAGGGAGAATTTAGCAAAGCAGAGGTAACAGTTAAAACTTGAGTGATTTGAGTTGTGCCTGAGACTAATTACAAAATACGGTCTTTCTTGGAAAATTTTCCACCAGGAAACCAAAATACAAAATTTTTAATAGAAGACAAAGGAGAAAATTTCCAACAGTCCCTTGGAAATGTTAAGAATTGGACTAGTTCTTAATAAGAAGGTCCCTCAAAAAAAATGTCAAGTATGGATTTATTTCTGGTTTTAGAAAAATGTAAGTCTCCTATCTGCTGGCAATAAATAATTTATTGCCAAAAGTTGAGTGTTATTTCCCAAGAGGAGGACACCCAGCTCCAATGCCATGATATTTTCAGTGTTGTTTTCTCATCAACATCCAAAACACAAGCGCAAACCTGCCTTGAGACCTGCTCTCCTTTCCCATCTGCATTTGACTGATATTCTTCCTATTTGTTTGGTTGGGCTTTGGCGTTTTTCCCCAGTTTCCTTGGAATTTGGGTCTAGAACATCTATCTCAAGGAACTTCCTTAGAATCACAGAATGATTTAGGTAGGAAGAGACCTTAAAGCCCATCTCATTCCAGCCTCCTGCCATGGGCAGGAACACTTTGAAATATCCCAGCTTGCTCCAAGCCCCATCCAAACTTTCATTGGTCGAAGTTTCCAAAACTCCCCTTCTGCTTCCATGGCAATAACATTTGTGAGACTTTCCCCTCTCAGCTGCAGGCAAAGGTGATCCTTGTGAAGGTTCATAAACAGGAATCATTGGTGTTTGAGTCAGGGAAGGGACAGACTTTGTTCCCAGGGGACACCAAGGCTCCACAATGGGCGGCTCTCCCTAATCACAGCCCCTATCAGATGGGTGTGTCCCCTCTGGGCACCACCCAGTGCTGAGTCAGATGACACCCGCCAAGTGCAACCTCATTAAAAATATTCCTGCAGCTCAGAGAGCTCCTTGGCCTCGAGAGATATCACCTGGAGGAGAGATATCCTCACCTGCCTCAAAGAATGCTTTGGGATGGCACAGGAGGTGTCTTGAGCACTGCTGGAAGTTGATTTAGAGATGATGATATGGGATTGGTGCGTGTCATTTATTGAACAAAGGGTGTTTGGGCCCTAAGGAAGTGGGAAACAAGGGACTGGATGTCTTTCTAGAGGAAATTATATTTTTATAATTGTTATTTTGTATATATACAATTATACATATATTCACAGCATCAGTGAACTCCAGAATGAAGTTGCCAAGAGGAGTTTTCTGAGCTGTCCTTCTGGCCACACATCCCCCCTGCTTTGAAGAAACCTGAAGATGTACAAAATAATGAGAAAAGCTCACCTGAAGACCTGCAGCCTGTGCAGTTTGATGTGGGTGGGTGTTCAGGACCCAGGAAACCAAAATGTTCCCAGGGCTCAGGGCCCACAGGAGCTGGGATCTACCATGAGGCTGAGCTAAATTTGGCATGGAGGTCACTGGGCTTCAAATGCTCTAATTGTTTAATTTGTCACTGTTATTAATAATGGGGATTAAGGAGACTCCCCAGGAAAAAGCAGCAAAGTGTTTCCTTGGCTTCTGGCTCAGGGCTGGAGCTCTAAATCCTGGCATTATGAGATCCCCTGACACTTATTCCTTGTACTTTGCAGCCGGGAAAGGAAACGTTTATTCAGGCAGCAAATGGCCCGAGCGGCTCCCGGAGGGCCCTGAACAATGGGGGGGGAAGGAAAGGCTCCCCCAGTCACACTCAGGGCAATAATTTCCGTTCTGTGGCACAGGAGCCGCGGCCTGATAATGGAGATTTATGGGTCCATCCGGTGACCTCTGGAATGGCCTTTCTGCTGGAAAGATTTACTCCCCCTCCCAAAGCCAGGTACAGCCAGCACTGGGACAGGGTTGAGGGAAGGATTTGCTGATCAGGCTGAGAAGGAGCCTCATGTGTGCTGAGTGGCCTCATCTTCCTCTTTGAATGTTCAGCTTCCCCACGTGCCTCTGCCAAGCCTTTATCTTGTATCTTGGGATCATTCAGTCCTTTTTATGGGCTGGGTCCCTGGTGTTGGCTAATCCTGATGGCCTTCTACTTAATTCTTCATAAAACCCTGCCTTTAGTCAATGAAGGAGCTTCTCACATGAAAGCAAATCATGAAATCTCACTGAATGACCAGTGGAGAGAATGGATTTTGTCCCATCCCTATCCTGGTCATCACCTTGCTGTGTAAAATGAGATTTTTTTTCCCCTCTCATCTACTGTTTATGAGCACTGCAAGGTCCCCAGGGCAGGAAATGTCATTTGTGTGTTGCACAACAGGCTGCTAATCTTGGGTGAGGCCTTGAGTATGCTCATGTCAGAAATACTTTCCACAATGGGATATCCAGTCCCCAGGGAGCCAGGAGTGACTCCTGAGTGGGACACAGGGGTCTGGTAGGGAAAAAAGGAATTCTTGGATGTGGCCCTTCTTGGATGTTGGGAGGGATCCTTCACATCCACTGAGATCAGCCTGTACGGACAATGCTGAGGTCATCAGAAAAGCAGATTGGAGCAGTTCCTGCCAGCCCACACCTCCAGCACCTCTGGCTCACCAAAAGTTTGGAGAATTTTGCCTTCCAAAACAGAAGAACCGGATATCGACTTGCACCTCAACCCAAGGCTTGAGCCTGGAGCATGGCATGAAGTGACCTCTTTCCTACCATCTCTGCAAACCCCAACTCCGCCAGCCTGGCACTACATCCATTCCTGAGTCCAGACCTTTGGGCTTTCTATAGGAACCCATCCCTGGAAGTGGTCCAGGCCAGACTGGATGGGGCT